GTGTGAGTGTTTCTATTTTCTGTCCCTGTTACTCTGTTTCACTGTGACATCTCACTGAACTAAGCTGTTCAGGTGAGGATCTGAAAAGCCTGTAGAAATGATCTGATGTGTGTAATGCAGAATGCAGAGAGTGATGCTCAAAGGGCCGGAGCCCCTCTGCTCTGGAGACAGGCTGAGAGAGATGGGGGTGCTCAGCCTGGAGAAGAGGCTCTGGGGGGACCTTGGAGCCCCTGGAAGGGCTACAAGAGACCTGGAGAGGGACTTTTGCCAAGGGCACACAGTGATAGGACAAGGGGGAATGGCTTCCCACTGACAGAGGGCAGGGCTGGGTTGGATATTGGGGAGGAATTCTTCCCTGTGAGTGAGGGTGGTAAGGCCCTGGCACAGGTTGTCCAGAGGAGCTGGGGATGTCTCTGAGGAACCAGATCTGAAGCCAGCAGCTCTGCCTGCTGGAAGGAGCCCCACACATCCACCAAACTGAATGAAATTTAGTACTACCCTGTAAAGCAAGGACACAGTAAAGCTGGGAGAATTCATGAAACTACTGGACAAACAAAACTGGTTTCACATATCTAAAGAAATACAATGGAAAGGTGTTGTCATATCATAAAGGGATGCTGCAGAAATCACTGCATAAATTCATAAACATTACTGGAAACTGAGAGCCCTGATTTTCATGCCATGTGCTCTGCTTTTCCCCAGCCCCTGTCAATGGGCTTCAGTGCAATCACTCTGTTTGTGCAGTTTAAACTACAGCTTTACATTTGCAAAAAGATAAAAATATGTCTGCCTCCCAGCCCTCTGTTCTTCTCTCTCCTCAGCACATTTTGCACAGGCTGAGGGACCATCCAGTTTTCCTTCAGTAGAGAACTCACTTGTCACCTGCTTGACACAAGCCAAGTATGTTCCTCATGTTGTGAGATCCACCCAAGTCCAAACACTGGCCATATTTAAAGCCTGCCTAAGGGTGCCATGGGAGAACTAAATGCTCATATTAGTGCCAGCACCTCTTCCACAGACAGCAGCCTTCCAGATCAGGCTCCACTTAGGCTTTGCAGTGAGGATCTTGACCATGTCTGCATGGGAGCCCTCATTTGGCAGTGAGCAATGCCAGACTCTTGTGGATGTCTCCATGGGAAGCACAGCCCATGCCTGGGACTCTGGGAGCAGAGCTTGTCTCGGAGTGCTGCATGGAGGCCCTGTTGTTACACTTGCCTACGTGACCTGAGCACAGGAATGCAGAGACGGGAAATCTGAGCATAGCTCTCATTAGTATGAGCATGCGGCTCATTTCATTGCTAAATAAGCACGTTCACTTGCAGTTCAAACTGTCTCTACTGGGATTTCAGAAAAACTAGACAAATATTTCCATTTTCTTTCCTGCCCCTCCTTCAATCTTACCTCATGTGTCACTGCCTTTCGACTAAATCCTTCGCTGCTGCTTTGCAAGGAGGAGTTCTGCCAGCTCATCCCAGCTGGCTGTAAGCCCTATCCTTTGCCATTTTAGGTTTAAGAGAGTGATCCCCTGCTGATGCCCTCTCTCCGTATTTCCTGAGGTCATTCCAGGAAACTCTCTTCTCCTTGCCCCACTCACTTTGCAAGGCTTTTTCACAATAGGTAAGGAATAGGTAGGAAAGGAAACTGCTTTTATCCGGCGGCTTTGAGTGTTGCATGTGACTGTAGCTCCCCTTCCTACAAGCAGAGGAGGGGTTTCAGTAGGAAGGCTCCTTCTTGGAGAGGTAGGAGTGGGAAGGCATGACCCAGGGCATTCCTGCACTTCCATAATTCCAGGCTGGACATGGTGGGCAGCACCTGAGAGGAGGTCTGCCCCAGCCTGCTCTGCCTGACCCCTGCACCAGCCACAGCTTCGAGTCATCTTTCATCCCATGTCACCAAGCACGTCCCAGCCAGCTCCAGACATCCCCTTAATGCACGTGGGGTTCCACAGCCTCCCTTACCTGTGCAATAACCTGATCACACTTGGCTCTCCTGAGCTCATCACACCTATTTATGCACAGGGCTGAAGACCACGGGCTCAGTGGGCTGTAGAAACTGTTATTAATTGCACAGTGCCAGATGTGGGAGAGGTTTCCCAGAATGAGTGAAAGCAGGACAGGGGCGTCTGCCCTGGAGTTTTGCAATACAGAGATGAAATCCTGGACAGGAATGTTGTTAGATGAAAACAAACCTTTAGGAAACTCATACCTCAGCTCAGTTGCTACCCTATTCTATACACGGTGCTTACTTAAACCCAAGCCAGGTCAAGGTAAAGCATTGCCGATGTCAGATGGATCCTGCTGCTCTTACATCAAATTCCATAGGGGATTTCACCATTGCCTTCATCCCGTGTAAGGAAACACATATCCCATAGTTTTCTCAAACCTCAGGCTAAATTATCCTGTTCTTCCATTCTCTCTCCTTTCTCTGTGGGAAAATGTCTTGCTTGTGCTTGCTCTGTGGACAGACCTGTGAAACAGTTCATTTGTTGGCTTTAAAAGCCATTCTCCAGATTTTTTCAAGGTATTTTCATTGTTAACCATCACCTGGATCACGGCCAGTAAGAAACATTCACCTCTTAAATTTTACAGCCTGGTACCATCCTCACCTTTCTGCTCACCCCAGTTCTGCTTATCTTTGTGTCACTAAGGAATGCAGGGCTCAGCCTGAGAATTCCTGCGGGCAGAGGGGCTTTGTGCAGCCCTGAATCGCCCCCGGGAAGGGGGCGTCTGCTTCAGCTCTCTTTGCATCAGCGTGTGAAAAGGCTGACAGGAACGCCTGCCTTTGCTAACCGCTCCCTCAGGTTGTCACTGAAACTCTCAGAAAAGCGGAAAAAAGAATAAAAGGTGACATGAGAACAAGCCAAAGTGACTCACAAAGGGGAAATCTCTGCCTGCTGTTAGTAGGTATTGCAAAGAAACTTGTGAACTGAGGGCTACTGCCTGCCCTGGGAAACCTGCCAGTACCTGGGCAGCTGCCTGAGATGTAGAACCATAGCAGAAATATTTCAGATGATGGCAGTTTGCAGCTAAGTAAAGAGCTGGGAAGATACAATACCTGCCACAAAAAAAAAAAATTCCCATCCAAAAAACCAGAAACAACGATGGAAAATAAAAATAACAAAAGCTCATTTTCCAAGGGTGCTCTGCCTCTTGCAACAGGTTCTCTTTATCACTCAGAAATCAATGGCCTCTGGGCAAACAAAACCTCCACCTCCCTTCCACCTTCACCAAAACGAGCAGCCGCTCTCCCAGTCTGACAGTCTGCTCAACTGAGTCTCTAAAATGAAGTCAGTAAGGATGAACTCATTCAAATTAAGGCAGCTTTTGGCTCACCGAGTTTCCTGGAGTATTTTTGTAAGATATTAAAATCAGTAAGATAACCAATAACCCTAAAATAAGTAATAAAAATCCACTGCCTGTAAATACTGAGCTAAGGGCAGCAAACACAAGTATTTAATAGCCCAGGGCAAAGCCAGGCCACCTCCCTGCTCCTCGGCTTCCCAAAGAGGTGAGCCGCAGCTCTGCGAAGCCAGAGGGAAGGCAGGATTTTCACCGGCCTGTCTGGAGCTGAACTTTCCTCCTCTTATACCAAATTCTTCAGATTTTTGTAACCTGCTCCACTTCACCCTTTGAACCGCAGCGAGTGCAGAGGTCTGAAGGTACCTGCGGGTGCGCACGTGCCGGGCCCGGCCGCCCCTCCAGGGTCAGCGGTGGGATTAGCCCCTCATTGAGGAAACCATTTATCTTGCCCTGGAGCCATTCCATGGGGGAACAACATGTGCACCTCGCCCAGCCTCCGAGGGAACCGCAATGGCTCCAGAGAGTCCTACTGGGAGCCCCTATCTCTGCTCTGTGGATGTCCTGGTGTTTTTCAAGGCTCTCTCCCCACGCACATAGTAACCCACGCGGTCAATAGATAAGGTCTGCGTAAAGTTTACTTGCAGGCTCAAGGTTTTTGGGCAAGCAAGACCTTTATCTGCACTTTAGCACCAATGTTTACAGGACGTTGCTGCCTTCATGTCAGGGGTCTGTTGTTGCCCCGATAAAGGAAAAGCGCTGACTACTGTTCTCATTGGAAATTTGAACAATTACTTGTCCTACAATAGCAACAGGACAACCACCCTTTTGCTTTTACTTTGGAACAATCTCCATCAACTCATCCCTTTCTGGGATCATTTCTCTGACTTTATTCTCTGTTCTCGACCTAATTATTGTTTGAATTGTGGGAATGCTGAAAAACCCAGCTCAGGGCAGGTCTCTCAGTGGGAGATGGTTTATGTTGTCAGTTTTACTTATCCAGCAAAGGATGAGAGAAGTAGCAGGAAGGGAATTCTCCCAAGCCATGTGGTACACAGCTGCAGAACGGAGAGCACAACCCACGCACAGCGGGACCAAGAGCGGCCTCCCAAGACTGTCACACGGGGTATGTGTGACATCCACGCCCTCTCCATCGGCAGAGAATTCCTCTCTGCGGGAGCAGGTGAGAGTTTCACTTTTGACATATCCTAAGGGCCTCCTTAGAAAAGTAATTTGTCCTGCGTGAACTTTTGCAGGATTTACTCCCCAAGAGCAAGAGTCTTAGAAATTTAAACACTTGAAACCCCTCATTGGCGCCTAAAGAGAGAGACAAGCTCATGTCAGCAGGCAGAGCCCCAGCTTTACATCATCCTGACCTGCCAACAAAGGAGCACAATTCGTCTCCCTCCCCCCGTTAGTGGAAGACGTGAGAGTAGGGACTATTGACACTGATCTGTTCCCTTTACCCCCCTCTGCTTGGACAAAGACAGGCAGGAGCAGCCCTGCCTGAGTGTTGGGAAATAAGAGCCCTCCCACCCACCTCCTGCTAGGGCCAAGGGAGCGGGGAAAGCTGCCCGGAGCCGCCCCCTCTCAAAGCTGGATGCGGGGGAGTGAGCCTGGAACAAACCTCGCCTGAGTTTGTGGGCAGAGCCGGGAGCAGGGAAAGCTGGGAACAGAAAAGAGGCATTTCACGCCGTCGGCTGAGTCACACCAAGCGTATAAAATCAAGGCCAGGCAGTCGGAGCCACTCCGAGCAGAGGCACGAGGCACCAGGACTTTAGGACAGGTACGTGCAAGCGGATGCGGTTTAGATACAAGGATTAAGATTAAATCTAAGATTAGAATACGGCAGCCCAATTCCTCCCATCCTCTCCCTGCCAGTGTGCTGCGGAGCAGGGGATTCAGCGGTGACCGGGAAGCCCTGAGGCTGCTTGGCTCTTGCAAGGTTCCATCTGACGAAAACGACACGGGCAAACACAACACATTATTTTGGTGGTCTGGTCTATACTATTTTACTGGTCCCTACTTCAAACCTGGGATGGCAGCAAAGGGTAACAGTCTGGGCAAGACCTGGCATCATTCAGGGAACAGCAAGGAGCAATTAAACTTTGGAATAGGTCGGAGATATTTTATAATACGTGGGGCTTCGGTTATCACCCTACACTGTAATATATTTCTGGACTAGGAATGATCGTTTTGATGCCGGGAAGCACAAAAGACAGCTCAATAAGAAAAGCAAGGGTTTGGGGCTGGGGTTAATTCCTTCCTCTGACACCGAGTACCTGTGGGGACCTCGCACAGGTCATTAAGGACATTTTTTTTTTTACAAAGGCAAAAGCAGGGCTGGGAGGAGGAGGGAGCTGTAACACTAAATAACATGCTTCCTGGCGCTCAGGCCTTTGGGGCCCTGATCCAGGAACATACTCGATTTCTGACCACTTCCACTGACATGTGGTTCGGGAGCTGCATTTTCAGTGCATCCTTTCCCAGCAGCTGGGCTGTGCAGCCTGTCTGTAGCTCTCATCCACAGCAGGGCCCAGTCCTGCCGCTGCCTGGCTGACAGGCTATGGGGCACTGCCAGCTGCTCAGTATCCCCAAACCCCTGTGGGGTCCCCACTGTGACCATCCTCAGAATGGGGCAGAACTGCCCTGGCAGAGCCCACACAAGTCCCTGGTTTTGCTAATGAAAGTACTTCCAAAAACAGGAAAGGAACTTATACCTGCCCACTCCAACACAACTCAGCCCAGTTTGGGATCCTGTGCTTTAAAGTTTGTCAACTCTCCTCTGTCCTCAGATCCACTGATTTGCTTTGCACAATATCACAGGAAACAGTCCCTTGCCATAGGCACGTTGACCCCGTTGTTTGGGCATCACCCCACAGGAAAACTCTTCCCACTGGGCTGGCCAAACTGGACACTATGCAGGACAGCCTGCTGGCACTGAGGGTACTGGTGTGGGATACAACTCGGTTCATGCTTCCTGCATGACTGAGACTGCATGGTACTTCTGTCCCCAAGGATTCACGTGTGAAAAACATGTTTACTTAGGTTCAATTACAAAAGAGCTATTAATTATCACTTATCACTGTCCAAATATAATAGGAAAGGGCTTATAACTGTTTTTCTTTTAAATAGTTTGTAGATACCTGGAAGAATTTTAATCTAAATGTTGATGTTTTGTTTTCCCCTTCCTGAAACAAAAAAGGAAACAGATCTTGCAAACTGCAGGCACCTCGGAGAAGGATGTTGTCACCCTTGCTCATCCTCCCTCTGCTGCTGGGGACCACGGCACAAGGCCCCGTGAGCAGAGCAGCATCTAGGGATGTCACCACCTTTTTCCAGCTGGCTCAGGAAGACACTTGGAAGAATGTTAATCTTACTAGCATGTCCTGTGAGGATCGGAAGAACAAGACCTGGATCACTCTGCAGCTGACCAGCAGCAACCTGACAGCTTTTCCTGTCTGCCTTCCAGAGGCCCTGGAGACCTTGGATCTCAGCAATAACCTCCTGGAAGAGGTGAACGGCACAGAGATAGCAAACCTCCGACAACTGCATGTCCTCTCGCTGAGGCACAACCACCTCTGGTCTGTGAGGTGGGGACCTGAAGCCCTCAGCAGTCTCCTCAAGCTGGACTTGAGCTTTAATAAGCTGTCATCTGTGCCATCCTGCCACGACTCTGCCCTGCCTAACCTGAGGTGGTTGTCCTTGGCTGGAAATCCACTGATGGAAATCCAGCCACTGGCTTTTTCCTGCTACCCTCAGCTGCAGGTCTTGAACCTCTCTGCAACACTGCTCGGGCAGGATGACAGCAGAGGAATTAGGGACTCTGCTTTTGCCATCAGCACAGATCCCAACGAGGCCATGAACAGGCCTGGAAACTCCATCAGCGTGCTTGATCTGAGCAGGACCTTTTTTGAGAAAAGTAAGTTTCTGGGTTTCCCACTGTAGGCATGGGGCTTGGTCAGGCTAGGGGAGCACAAGCCTTGCTGGGACGATGGCTCCAATCTGGCTGAGCCTGGAGTGCAGGGGGAACACCCCACACTGAAAGCTGCAAACAGCTGGTCCAAGCGTGCAAGGCACTCTCATGCAAACCAGCCTCCCAAAGGAAGGGCAGAGACCAAACACCATGAGACAGGACGATTTGTCCCAGTGTAGTCACCCACTTTCATCCTAATCCCACTGTCTGCTACTGACAGTCATCCCCCTGTCAACCCCGGGATTAGTTTTGGGAAGCACAGGAGGAAATTAGTTTCTCTTTCCAAACAGGCTGTTGAAATCTTTCTTTGTCCCCACAGCTACACTCAGCTTTTAGTGCTGCATTGAAATAGCACAGAGAGAGGCTTTTTGTGCCATCCACAGCCTGGATACTTCCGTTGAGGGGGGAGACAATCCCTGCCCCAAGGGAGGATTTTTCCCTTTTGCCGGCCTCCCCTGCCAGCCTCAGTTTACACCTGAGGTGCTGAGACACACAGATGTGAGATGCCTTGCCCAGCTGCTCAGCCTGGTGCAGGGCCAGGGCCTTAGGGGCTCCTCAAGCCAGAGGCTTCACCTCAACTCACATTAAACCTGCACCACCAAATTTCCTCCATGAATTTGCCTAATCCCTCTTGTGGTGGTGAATTATCCTATTGAGTCATGGGATGGAAAGGCCCTTTTGTACAAGACCTACTCTTTCTGTTTCATGCCTCTTGGCTCTACTTCCTGTGCTAGGAGAAATAAGTGATTTGCCTTTCTTGCACCAGACAGGACCTTGCAGAGTAGAGAAATCCTCATTCATTTAATCTCACCCAACGAGAAATCTATTCCATATCTCTTATCAGCTTTGTTGTCCTTTTTTCACCTCTTTTCCTCTGCCCTATGACAGCCTGACTTGCACGGACTATTACAAAAATGCAGCTGCATGAGTGTTTATACACTGGTGTATTGACTTTTGTTCTATTCCTTTCCCAAAGAGAATAGCTGCAGAAAGTGACAGATACATTATATCTTTTTCTAGGCAGAAATCCACAGGAATGCTCTGTTTAGGCATTAGGTTTAAGTATTTTTCTGTTTCAGTTCAGCCAGAGTGGGTCAGAGACTTGGCCAACCTCAGATCACTTCACCTGACAAACATGCCACGGTTAAGAAGCCTCGATAGTGACGTCTTCAAGTCTCTGCCTGCTCTCCAAGAGCTGCACTGTCAGAACTCCCGTTCCCTGGGTTTCGTGCAGATGGAGATGTTTGCCAGTGCTCCTCACCTGAGTCATCTCTCGTTTGAGAAGTGAGTTTTTTTTTTGTCCTCCCTCACATAATGCTGCCTTTGCCTCACAGTGCTGTGATGCCCGGGCACTAACTCAAACAGTTTGTTATCAGATTTAGGAAGGAGGTGTGGACTTGCTGTCTTTGCCATGTAAAACCTGTGATCTGGCCTGATAGAGCTGATACAGCTCAAAGAGCAGCATGGGACTCATAGCACAATTAATTGTTTGCTTGTATCCATTGTGTTCCCTCTCCTCTGCCTTATCTCCCTGTCCTGTGGATGAATTCACCCAGTACTGTTTAGATCAGCACAGATCCACTGAATCCCACCTGTGATACAGACTGGGCTTCCAGCACCTACAGTGGCAATATCCCATCAGAGGAGAAGCAGCTCACTGAGAGTCCCCTGCTCAGCAAGGATGAATACAATGTTTTAGTCCTCATTCTAGGGGTAGCACCTCTTGGTATGTTACATACCTGAAATACTAAGAGGAACAAAAGTCCAAAAGTGATTTATCAAAAGATAAAGAGCAGGTGAAATGCGTACAAAGGAAAAAATCTGGAGAGCACTTTGAAACATTTTTATAATACCAATCCAGATATAAGCATATCAGAAAACAAACACTAGAGCACTGGCTGTGCCTAGAAACCAGTTTCAGGAACATAAACCCATACAAAACAAAAACCCTATGGGACCAATCCCCCCTTGACTGCCCTATGGGGTTTACACAGCACTTTCCAACACTTGCAGGAATACCAGTCCAAAGTATCATGCCCATACCCCTAAAAATCATGCCCAAACTTAAAGAAATTGCTGTTAAAATCCTAGAAAAAAGAGAGCATCTTCTGAGCCTGCAGAGTGCAGGATGGTGGGTTTAATAACTGGTTACTGCCAAGGGAACTGAGAATATTGCTTTGTGCCTTACACACACTAAGGATAAGGGATACTAAGCACACTCCAGCTGTTTAAGGTAGCTCAGCATTTTTTAATTATTGCATTTGTCTTCTTGTAGCTGTAACCTGAGTTCCTTTAATCCTTGGAACACCAATTCATCGGATGGCATCACCACCATCAACTTGTATGGGAATCCTCTGCTGTGCAACTGCCAGCTCTCCTGGCTGCTGTCCAAGCCCAAGAAAGTCGTTCTGCAAAAGTAAGTGAGCTCAAGGAGATCAAGTAATGCTCTTCAGACACAACTTCAATGTGCAGAGTTGTTAGGGGGGCAGACATTCACCACCATTCACTAAATGATTCAAATTCCTTGTGTGTTCTTCCCTTCCACAAGAGGCAGAAGTGCAAAATAATGTCCCTTTCAGGGACAAAGCATTAAGTGTTATTAGCTGTGGATTCTACGTTGAGGGGAGAATATTTTCTGTTTTGGACCATATTTCACTATTAGCTGAAGACAGAAAATGAGCTGTCTTGATGTACCAGCTCTGGGAGCAGTAACTGGAAAACTTTAGAAGATCTTTAACGAATTATTTTCTTCTAACCCTGCTATTCCCAACGCTTACATCACCACCAGCAGTCAACAAAACCCCTTGCAAATAGCACCATTTCTCACCTATTGTTTTCATGCTCCCCTACAGTTTTACAGACTAATTACAATAAGCTGCAGTTAAAAGAAATATTTGCATATAAATGGTCTTTCTTCCTTTTGAAAGGCCACCGAGAAGATTTGTCATCAAATCTCTCAGAGAGCAGGGAAGTAGATTGTTTAGATTGTTGAAAGTAGTTTTTCACCGGGATGAGTTTAGCAGTTGCATTCTTTACCAAAACTTCAGTGTCTGAGTAAATTAAGAATTCGATCTTAGTCATTGAGAAGTCCCACCTCCCACTGCCTAAACCAGATGGATTAAGAATCCTTGGAATCCTGTTACATCTCCCTGCATGTGTTCCCCTGTTACTGTGGCATTAAAGTCTGACCCTTTACGACAAGTTGCCTTGAATCCCGATGCCCTTTGCTAAAGTTCACAGCCATTGTTGTACCAAAGGACACTTCCCCTCGGGCAAAAGATATCCCTGCACCTTACAAAACCAAAAAGCCAGTTCCAGTTAAATTTCACAGTCAGTGCTGTGGAAATCTGCCCAGACTGTTGTAAAGACAATCTAGTTTTGATCTAGGTTTCACATTCTCACTAACGCAGACTGTTTTGACAGCAGGTCATCAATTCCAGTCCAAGCAGCCTACAGACACCTGTGATGTTCTTCTGGATCTTGACTATTCTGGTTTCCCCCTGCAGGGCTCGGGAGACTTTTTGCACATCCCAGGAAGATTCTGGCAGACCTCCAACATCTTTTTCGCTGCTGGAGCTCTACGATAAATGCCATTCAGAGAGCAATGTTACACTGCCCGATTCAAACACAGCCCTTCCCAATCATGATGCTTTCAGCTTCACCGGTGATGATGCCTCTGCTACAGTAACAACAGACTCAGCTCTGTTGACCAAAGATTTGACTCACACCAGCTCCCTTATCCAGAGGAATGTAAGGAGCACAGCAACACCCAACCCAACACTAACCAAAGACACCTATACCAGCTCCCTAATCCAGAGGGATCTGATGAGCACTGCAGCATCCAACCCAATGCTAACCAAAGACACCTATACCAGCTCCTTAATCCAGAAGGATGTGATGAGCACTGCAGCATCCAACCCAGTGCTAACCAAAGACACCTATACCAGCTCCCTAATCCAGAGGGATGTGATGAGCACTGCAGCATCCAACACAACGGAGCTGATCCTAACAAAAGCCAACAGTTCCTCCCACGAGGAGGAGGCAGTTTCTGAATCCACAAGCAATCCCCCTTCCTTGGCATCTGTAACCTCCTTCCCAGTTTTTCTCCAAGAGCTCTTTGCTCAGTCCCCAGATCACAGCTCCACAAGTCCAGCTGGAACAGAACAGCTACAGAGAGGGCTCAGAACAACTGACACGACATTCCCTCGGGAAGAGCAATTCAACCAGACCACCAGTGATTATTCCACTGGAGGAACAGGAGTTCCCCACACCACCAACCACCACGTTCACGCCTTTGGCACCCATGCCAAGGAAGATGCCCCACAAACGAGCCCCCCACAGCTGAACTCCACAGGGAGCAGTGCCCACTCAGAGCCACCCACCACACCATCACCACATTACATTGATGACTATGACTATGAAGAAGCAGCAAAGGAAACCCCGGTGCAAGGCCCACAAGTGCACATCGCCTGTGACTACAATCCTTGCAGGCACCTGCAGAAGCCGTGCAGGGAACTCCAGAACATATCCCAGTGTTCATGTCCCGGCACGTCGAGGGAAGATGAGATTCCAGACCCACCCAGGCTCAGAGAGGTGATTGAAATCACTGACAGCTCTGCACAGGTACGCTGGTGTGCCCCTTATTCAGTTGTTCACAGCTATGAGCTGATGCTTCGTGCCCAGGACAGCGAGGACAGGCAGCTTGTCATGGACAACATCTACCCCACGGCCAGGCAGTACACTCTGTATAACCTGCTACCATTCACCACTTACCAAATCTGTGTGACTGCCTCCAACAAAGCAGGGTCAAGCCAGACGACAGGCCAGGAAATTCCAGGTAATTCATGCACCAGCTTTAAAACAAAACCCAGCTACAAGTATGTTTTTGCTGGTCTGTCTGCAGCAAGTGGACTCTTTCTCATTACCACAATTATTTTGTCTGTGTGCCTGTGTAAGGCATGTAAAAAGCCTCAGAGTGAGCAGTATGGTACACACTTAGTCTCCTACAAGAACCCAGCATTTGATTATCCCTTAAAATTACAAGCCACTAATTAGCTCTGAGTGATTGTTCTATGCATTCAAAGTTCACTATCTCCATCACCTTGGCATGTTTTTGTGAGACTCTGAAAATGTCCTTCAGCAAAACTATGAACCATCAAATTCCATAACCCTGATGTTTCTAAGGGAGAGAAAAGCACCAAAAAAAAAAGAAAAACTAATAATGAAGGTAGTCAACCAGAAAAAAGGCTTTGGACTCCTGTTCCTGTGCTAAGCAGCAGCAAGCCTGGACACTAACCTTGAAAAGCTGTTTTTGTAATCACCTACAAATAGAGTAGCATAAATTTGACACAGTGAGAGGCTGCCTGGCCAGCTGTCTGCCTCCAGTATCTCTCATGAGCACAGTCTGTGTGATGAGAGCTGTAATCCAAGGTGCATTAAGCTGAGCAAGACACACTGCTTTTATTCACAGAGCAAAGCTGGGGGTTCAATTTTTTAAAGGTATTCTCCATGAAGAGAGTACAGCTGAAAGGAGTCAGTGGGCTCAGTGACAAGGTGCTGCACAGCTCTGACTTCCTCCAAGGAAATGCAGTGGATCCAGATCATCAACCTAACCAGTTCAGGAAAAAGAAACATGAAATTTAATTGTAGTCACAGGTTGTGCAGGATCCTTAGGACAGAGGCAATTGTTTTGTTCTGACTTTTTTATGAGTTTGTCCACAACTGAGACTCCCAAGTGCTTCCCCAAAGCAAGGTGACAGGCAGTGGGGGGTTTGCAGTACAGCAGTGACCCACAGAATGGGGGAGGGGAGCATATTAACATTTGTTTCCCAGTGGATTTTAAGCAGAGAGGATGTTCTGTCCCAAGATTTACCTCATACAGAGGCAAAGAGCCAAGTAATGAAGCAATTTAATGCATGTGCTGCTGAGACCTGAAAAACCCTAGTTTTTTGTTGCACTAGCAGCAGTTCTGCAGACACCTTTCAAATGAATTCTTGGGTGCCAATTTCTGTACAATAATAAGAGATGCTGACAATCCCAACTTTGAGATGCCATTAGAATCCAAGGAGGTGTCCCAATCTGATGTTTCCTCATAGGTTTCAGTTCCAGGAGCTGCCTGTTCCAGCTGCTGTACAGTGCTGTACAAACACAGTGCATAAAACCCCCTGGACTCTGAGGGGAAGGTGCTGTACTGTGTAAAAGTTCCATTCTTTTGGGGTTTTTAATTATTTCAGTATTACAGAAATAAAAGCTACAGAGCTATGTTTTGGTTTTTTAAAGACATGGATCTTGGTGTTGTCTTTACCATCGACAATGTTTAGCCTGAAAAATTAACTCCTTTTGTTGTTTTAGAATGAACTTTCAACATATAGTAAAGAAATGCTTTTTATTACGGTAGTTGTGTTCTCTGATGTCCCAAGTGCTTTCTTTTTGTATGTGGCAGCAGGAGGCTTGTGCCTTTTCACCACTATGGACTTGCAAACCTTTCCTGGAAATTTGTCCTCTCCCCAGCCCTGGTCTGGGAATGACTGTGACTGGACAGATACAAATTCCTGCCATGTCTGTCCTGAGCCCCATGACTCAAACTCTCAATGGAAGTGAAATGCAAATGAAGAAGACAGGATGGTGTCACCTTTTCAGTTTGAAAATCTCTTATTTTCTCATTCTGGTAGTTTGGACCTTCCTCTGTTTGGACCTAGGTTTTTACACTTATTTCTGGCCTGGTTTTTCCTGCATTTTCTGGAGGGTTTAATAAACAGGTACAGATGATTGTCATTTGAAGAGAGCAAATTGGCCAAAGACTCATTATGCCAAACTGGGACAGAGATCATATATTCCCCTGTGTTTGCACAGCATAGCTCTAGGAGACCTTGGTTGGGGTGTTTGGTTTTACCAGAAACAAAGCAAAATAAGAGATTTGTGAAGAGCAATTTATATTGTCTCAAAGATTAGCTCCAGAGAAGGGCAGGAAAAAAAGATACTGGAACTGAAAATAAAGATTGCTCCCACTTAAATATGAGTTAGTCCAAAGCAAGAGGACATCATTTAAAATGAGATATTAAGAGGACATATCTCACTACACTTTACCACACTGCAGCTGATAATCACTGAACTAGGAAGTCCATCACAATTGATTTCTCTAACCAGTTCTCCATCCAGCCCCTCCTGAATTTCACAGCCAAGGGAACACATCAGAGCCTCCCATTCCTTTAAAGTGCCCTTTCTGGGAGCCACACAAATATACAAGTCCTGCTCCCACAATCCCCACTTGTTCCAGCTTAAAGTGACCTTCAGCAGCCCAATTCCATCTGAGCTGATGAACCATCCTGAAGCACAGATGCCCCAGCCAGGGGCAGTGCCCCTCTCTTGCCTAGTAACCCTCAACCCTTCCACAGGTGGAAAGTGGAATGTATGGGATGTAGCAGCAGGGTTAAAAACATGGGATTTGTATTTATCAACATCTATGAGAAGTATCAGTGCTTCAAATGCAGATTTATTTTTTTTTCCTACTACCACTTCGTATTTTCACCAGGATTCATTTTAGTAGTGACCAACTAAACTTTTTCCAGTGGAGGGAGCTCTCAGAGCTCTTCTCAGGACTGGGGCAGTGAGGGGAACAAAGTAACCCAGGGGCTGCACGGAAACTTTCCCAATAAAGCCATGTTAGGAAGCTGCCCTGCTTTGCTCCACCTGCTTGTTTCTCCCCCTTTTTCCTGATTGCACCCAACAGCAAATCCCATGTGTACCTCCAGTTTCAAAGACATAGACCTTTGGCAGCGTGACTGGAATACCCAAACATCTCTGAAACAATTTTTAAGAGCTATAAAAAGCCAAAATATAAAAATATATAACTAATACTTCACTTACTGCTGTGCAGTTCCACTTGTTCTCTGAGAGGAAGATCACTTGGGGGAAGTGCAGAGAGCATTGAAATACAGTTTTTGAACAGTTTGTGTAGGTTTTTCTATGTCCTTTCTTGGAAGACAATCTTATCAAGATCCTTCTCCATTCACTTGTGTTTGTCCTCTTTCCAAAGAAGCAAGTCCAAGCAAGGAGTCCACAGCAGCCAAGGGTGCCTGTGGGTGCATCCCTGGTTGTCACGGCAGAAGTGCACAATGCTCTGTCTCTAACAGCACTTGAAAATCAGTCACTGAGTCTCACAGAGTCTCCCAGTAGAAACACTCTGGGAAATGGAGCTGATCCCCTCCATACAGTTAAAAAAAAGACTCTTCAGGGGCCAGAACTGTTGCTGGCAGTGCAGGAGCAGGGAGGGACACCTTGCTTTTGGTGCAAGAAATGCCATTAGAGAAGCAGTCCCTGAGAGCAGGCATGCCTGTAAGCAGGCATGTGGGAAAGCCCAGAGGAACAGGACAAGGTGATTCAGCCTGATCTATCTCAGCACCAGAAGGGATCCCACTTTCCAGTCATGCAGGCCAGAGGGGTGACAGACACTAAATGGGCCAGCTGGGAGATGACACGGCCCAAGGCAGGGAGCTCACACCACATCCCAGGCCCCATCAGCCTCTTCATGGAAGGATGCACAAGTTCAACCACGATGCTCCCTCAGCAAGCACTGCCCTGGAACGGCCGTACTCCTCCACAGGGATCTCTGGAACAACACCTTTTTGTGGAGATACAAACGAGGATGCCTCTGAGGGCTCAGGATGGTGCTTGCCAAGAAGCCTGTGATTCGTTCTTTACCTGTGAAATAGAGAGAGATGTATCACAGGTGAGAACATGTTTTGTATTTGCGGAAACAGATATTCATAAAAACATGTTTAAACTCCAGGTGCTTCTTCTTTTCATCAGCTCTCCAAAGGATGCAAAGTTTGTTCTGAACAGGACAATCCGTTAATCCCAGCCTCTAAAAAGTGATCAAGCAGCATTACAAATTAACACTCTTCTGAAATACATCCAGGAGGCAACGCCTCACAGCAAGGTTAGTGCTCTGCTGGCATCTAGAGGGAGAGGGGGGAATCATCTCCCCAGGTATCCCCACAAAGAAATACTCATTCTTTCACCAGACAGCTTCCACCTGCATCCTGCAGACCAAGGGTCACTGACTTACACTACCAGTGTGCTCCTGTGTGTCCTCACCTCCTCCTGTGTGAAGGGAAAAGTGCTGAGAATTAGCAGCAACAGTCCCAGTCCCACAAACTCACTCAGCAGCTCGTCTGTCCCTGCCTCTAATTCTTTTTGTAGCCTTACGACCAGGAACTTTTCTGCCAACTTGACACTGATAAGGAAAAAATTTGGTTTTTTGTTTTTTTGGTTTTTTTTGGTAAGAGCAAGGAGGGAATTACTGCCTGGAAAAACTGGAAAGTCAGTCCACAAGTGCAGTAAAGTAATATTATTTTTTTAAAAAAACTATTGTAGATTTAGAAGCAGAGATCTGATGGCATTCATTGCATTTAGAGAAAATTAAACAGCAATGTTTACAGTGATATCTTAGCAGAAAAAAATCACTATGGGTAAAGCGTAAAGCGTTTTCCTTCCCTCCCAGACCAGAGGGCAGCCCTGTATGTTGTGCTGCTGCAGAGCCCTCACCCTTCTGTGCTGGCTGACATTACCTACAAGTACACATAATAAGGTAATACTTGTATGGCACTGCATGCATTTCCTCCCACAAAATGTGTCCTCATTTTTCCTAGATCCTTTGCTGAAAAGGATATGTGAGCAACCTTTCCATCTATGGATGTCAAATTGGATTTTTTCAAGGAACATAATGGAGAAAAACCCCTCAGAAAATATTAACAAGTAATGGAGGAGGATGAAAGGGACAAAAACTCTGCTATACATAGTCCAGAGCAGGAACGAAACAAAGAAAATCAGAAGAAATCACGTAAAAGAATTCCGAGAAAATCCATAAAAAGCAAAATCCCTTATTCAGTGTCTGCTCCAGAAGGTGGAAGCAGCCATGCAGCCATCCCATGCAGGCAGGGCTGGCAGCTCCTTCAGGGCTCAGCCTCGGGCACCACGAGCCAAAACTTTTGGCATGAAAACTCCAGATAGAAGAAAAAAATACTCTCTAGGTAGAGACTTTCTTCTTCTCTTAAAAACTAAAATTTACTCATGTAAAACTTCATGCTGGGAAGACTTGAGTATTGCATTTATTAAATGTTCAAAAGCCACTCACTCTTATCAGAGCATGGTTAAGGAATGGTACTTAATGACTTATCTAAGGCCATGGGGTGAAATGATGTCACCCTA